GACAGAGTCTTCCCGAGTTGCTTAGTGCCTTGCTAAGTTGCTGAATCTGGCTTTGAACTCGCGATCCTCCTGAAGTTGGACTTGAGCTTGCAATCCTCCTGCCTCAGCCTCCCAAATCGTTGGGATTACATGCATGCAAATCCCTCCTTTTCTGCATGCTTCCTGGTGTAGTTGGGAAAAGGTGGAGCCCCCCCCCCATCATTACTATGATATCCAGTGTATCAAGTGCCCCTACCCAGACCTCTTGGTGGTGACCACTCTCCCCTGCTTGCTTCTCATTTCGCCATTGAGGACTATCTATCCCATGTAATCTGCAGGGAATCCTGGATTACAGGCTTCTTGCCTTTCTGTGGTACTTGGGGGTCAGTGCCTATTCATCCCTCTTGTCTCTTCCCTCCTTCCCCACCGGTTCCCCAACCCCTTGTGGGCACCAAGAGGCAGATGCAATCTTATCCAGCCCTCCCTATGGCATCCTGCTCCCCTGCACACCCTGTTCCCATCTCAGTTCCTGGGGTGGTAGTGGGCATGCTCAGAACCCGAGTTGCTCTATTTGGGGGAGAGAACACTGTGGAGAACTGGAGCACTTCTTTTTCCCCTCTAGAAGAATGGAAAGATCTGTCCTGGGTGAATTAGGTGAAAAGGTGGTTGTTGGGATGCCTCACTGAGCTCACAAGCCAAGATCCAGAGGCGTCAAGAGGAGTTCAGGGTTGAGGTGGGAAGCAGGTGCAGACTGGGGGTGGGGGGCGGGCAGCCTACACTGGCTTGCCTGGCTTGGCCTCCCAGGAGACTTGGCCATCATCCACACCAACACCAGCTCAGAAGAGGTGGACAGGCTGATGAGGAGGAGCCCTAAATTTGTCTTTATTTATTTATTTACTTATTTATTTTTTGAGGACAGGAATCTCACTATGTTGACAAGGCTGGTCTCCAAATACTGGGTTCAAGAAATCCTCCCACTTCAGCCTGGCGACTAACAGGGACTCCAGGTGTCTACCACTGCACTTGACTAGCCCTGAATTTGAGATCTAAAAGTCTGGGTTCACTAAATGATTGTTCTACTGCAGAATGCTGTCTGACCTCCACTTCTGGGCTAGTTTTTAACATGGGATAATTATCCTTGTCATGCCATATATATCTTTTTAAATTGTGGTTTGGGGTCAAACTCCAGCATGTTTTACCACTAAGCTATATCTACAAACCTTTTTCTTTTCTTTCTTCTCCTTTCTTCTTCTTTGGTACCAGGGATTGAACCTAGTGGTACTTAACCACTGAGCCACATCCCCGAAACTTTTATTTTTAATTTTGAGTCAGGGTCTCACTAAGTTGCTGAGGCTGACCTCAAACTTTGTGATCCTCCTGCCTCAGCCTCCTGACTGGGTGGAGGCTGAAGCAGGATGATCACAAGTTCAAAGCCAGCCTCAGCAACTGATTGAGGCTCTAAGCATTTTAGTGAGATTCTTTCTCAAAATGACAAATAAAAAGGGCTGGGGTTGTACCTCCGTGGTTAAGCTCCCCTGGGTTCAATCCCTAGTGCCAAATAAGTAAGTATATATATAAGTAAGTATATAAATAAATGGGAGTACTGGGCTGTGAGGGATAAGAAACAGTCTTGAGGTCAAGTACTAGACTGCCATAAACAAAGGCAAGCTCTAAATATACTGCAGTGGTGTTTGGATCCTACACAAAGTGCACGAAGGAAGAGAAATCAAGGTACAGGGTGGGGATGTTGCTTGGTGGTGGGGTGCTYGGTGTGCACGAGGCCCTGGGTTCAACCCCCAGGACTGAAAACAGACAAATAACAACAACAAAAAACCAAGAGACAGAGAGCAGGGTGCAGAGGACTGTGAGGAGTCAACATTTTGCTGGAGGCCTTGGTGCACACCTGTAACTTGTCAGCCCAGCAGCTTGGGAGGCTGGAGGATCACAAGTCCAAAGCCATCCTCAGCAGCATATCAAGGCCCTAAACAACTCAGCAAGACCTTGTCTCCAAATAAAATATAAAAAAGGACTGGGGATGTGGCTCAGAGGTAGGGCTCCTGGGTTCAATCCCTGGTACAAAAAAAAAAAAAGAATAGGCAGGCTGGGGATGTGGCTCAAGTGGTAGCGCGCTCGTCTGGCATGCGTGCGGCCCGGGTTCGATCCTCAGCACCACATACAAACAAAGATGTTGTGTCCGCCAAATACTAAAAAATAAATATTAAAAAAAAAAAGAATAGGCATATTTGGAATCTAGCCACTCTCAGCACGCTGTTGCTCTAGTCTGACCTGACCTGCCAAGGTGTCCATCTGTACTGGGCTTCTTACCTCCTAAAGGTCTTGAACAGTCTACCCTTATTTTCTAAAGTCTATTCTCAGCATAGCAGCCAGTATGAACCTTTTAAGTAAAAACTTAGTTCATGTTTGATACCAGGCAAGTTCCTCATTCACTCAGCATAAAAGCTCAAGTTTGGGGCTGGGGTTGTTGTAGCTCAGTGGTTGAGTGAGCGTTTGCCTGGCATGCATGAGGCACTGGGTTTGATCCTCAGCACCACATAAAAAATAGATATTGTGTGTGTGTGTGTGTGTATAAAGAAAAGCTCAAGGGGCTGGGGATGTGGCTCAAGTGGTAGCGCGCTCGCCTGGCATGCGTGCGGCCCGGGTTCGATCCTCAGCACCACATACAAACGAAGATGTTGTGTCCGCCGAGAACTAAGAAAAATAAATAAATGTTAAAATTCTCTCTCTGTCCCTCTCTCTCTCACTCTCTCTTTAAAAAAAAAAAAAAAAAAAAGAAAAGCTCAAGTTTTTTTTTTTTACAGTCCTGGGGTTTGAACCCAGGGGTGCACTACCACTAAGCTATACCCCCAGCCCTTTAATTTTTTTTTTTTTTTTTAAAATTTTGAGGTGGGTTCCATGGTATATACCTGTGATCTCAACCACTGGGGAGACTGAGGCAGGAGGATCGAAAGTTCAAGGCCAGCCTCAGCAATTTAGTGAGGCTCTTAACAATTTAGTGAGATCCTGTCAAAAAATAAAAAGGGCTGCGGATGTAGTTTAGTGGTAAAGTATCTCTAGGTTCAATTTCTAGAACCAATTTTTTTTTCTATTTTGAGACAGGGTCTGGCCTCAAACTTGTGATCCTTTTGCCTCAGCCTCTTTGTTAGCTGCGGTTACAGGCATGCACTACCACTACCCAGTTTAAAAAACATATCTTACCTAGTGCAGTGGCACTTGCCTATAATCCCAGCAGCTTGGGAGGCTGAGGCAGTAAGATTGCAAGTTCAAGACCAGTATCAGCAATTTAACAATGACCTAAGCCATTTAGTGAGACACTATCTCAAAATAAAAAACAAAAAGGCTGGTATGTTTCTCAGTTTTTAAGTGTCCCTGGGTTCAATCTCARGTACCAAAAATAAAAATAAACTAAAATAGTTCTTATTTGGGCTGTCCTTCACCCACCCACACTCATCTCTGGCCCAACTTTTAATTTTTTCCCCATAGTATCTATCCCAATTATATCAACATACTTTAAAAAGTCTATAGTTTGTCTTCTGTTGTCACCCACTGGAATGTAAACTTCACAAGTACAGGGATCTGCTTTGTTTATTGCTGTATCCAAAACACCCAGACTTACATATAGCAGACAGTCAATTATATTTGTTGAATGAATGAATGAAGATTCAGACCTGCATAACTATCTCTGGAATGTTCTTCAAGAAGTTGTTTACTGTGGTTATCTTCAAGGGAGGCAGGCAGGGAGGCTGGGGGATAGGTGTAGGAGACTTAATTTTCACTACTAGAGTTCTTTAAGTGGGGTGTGGTGGGRCAGACCTGTAATCCCAGTGATCCGAGGAAGCTGAGCAAGTTCAAGGCCATCCTCAGCAACTTTGCAAGACCCTATCTCAAAAGTTAAAAATGACTATGGAGAAGGCTGTGCTTGTAGCTAAGTGGCAGAGCACTTGGCTCACATCTGTGTGGCACTGGGTTCGATCCTCAGCATCCCATAAAAATAAATAAATAAAATAAAGGTATTGTGTCTATCTACAACTAAAAAAAAAAAAAAAAAGACTAGGAGTAAAGAATGCCTGTGGGTTCACTTCACTCCCTAGAACTGCAAAAAAAGAAAAGAGAATTCCTTACTTTAGAAATATACTACCTTTACAAAAAGGAAAAAACCCAGAGAGAAAGGAGTTAACTAAGAAGGGTGAAGAAGAGCTCATCCCAGAGAGGGAGCAAGAGGGCCCTATATACCGGATCAGGCCAGTGTCCCAGATGAGAAAGGGGGATGAGCAGTACCTGGGCCCACGGAGGTCAGGAACTCTGAATGGCGGTCCCAGCGGGACACTGAACAAGCCCTGTTGCTGGCCTTGCGGTTGTGGGAGGCTGTGGGGGGGGCTTGTGAGTAGGCGTGAGCAAGATGATGTGCACATGTACCTACCACTGGGAGTCTTTTGGGAAATCCTGTTATTGGCTTCCAAGGGGAAGCGAGGAGTCCATTCTATTCACTCAAAGGGTTGGTGTCCTGACAGGAGTCGTGCCCTGATAAGCCTGAGGAACCCTGTGGCGGCACAGATGGCTTTTCTCCTGTAGTTGTGTGTGTGAGCCCYGAGCTCTGGTAGCTCATGGGGCCCACTTCCTCCACAAACTGGGAATAGCACGGTGCTTTCCCTAAGCTCCTCAGAGGCAGGGAGCTCCTACACCAGGTCCTCTATTTGGGGAAGGGTTGAGTCCCTCGGGTGGCCATTCTAATACCCTGGCCTCCCACAACACGCCAAGCTGGACCCCTCGCTATACATAGGTGGGAGGATCCTGGCCTTTCTCCCCTCCACTCTCCCCACCCAGGTATGAGTGAGTCAGGAAACCTGGATTTCAATGTCACTTCTGTCCTGGACAACGTCCTTCCCTCCTTGGTCTGCACTCTGGCTCGAAGACTCCTTCAGTGCTGACTTTGGTCTCCTTCCCCCTTAGACATTTGGAACTTTTGGCCTCAAAGCCTTTTTATTATACATAGAGTTCAGCGATTCTCAAACAGAGATCTTAGGGCACAGCCCATGCCTGGTACTAAGAGCACGGTGAGATCACCATCGGGGCTGGCGGGCTCACTGTGCCAGGCGTAGAGGTGTGCCAGGTCCTGCGGTAGTCTTACTGGAGTGCTGGCCAGCAGGCCAGACTCCCGCTCACCAGAGGTTCGACAGAGGCAGAGGCTGGGGACTGAGGTCCGGAGACGAGGCTAGTCTGGCAGATGGCACAGCTCAAAGCAGGATCCACACTTCACTCTTCAGTCGTCGTTTGTGGCCCACCTGTCCTTGGTCAGGCACAGCTGGCCCCAGGAGTCTTGATGGGGCTACAGAAGAGAATGGGGGAGCTGAGAGGCAGGCCGGGCTACACAGGCCGCAGCCACACCCCCTTCCGACCCCCGGCCCACCTGAGCGGTGCCAGCCATGCTGTCAGCGGTAGAGGACGCTGCTCCCTGGCGTCATCAGTCCAGCAGCTCCTTGATACACCAGCAGCAGAGCAGTATGTAGGCCACTTCCTTCAGGGTTTGCTGCAGGCCCTCCCACCCTGTGCCCATCTTAATGACAGGCACACGGAGCCCAGCGTCTCGCAGGACCCCTCCAAGGGAGAAGGGTAAGGCCTGGGTTAGGGGCTGTGTCCGGGGCTGCATGTGGGCAGCGGTGCTGAGGAAGGGTGTGGGAGCTGCCTTTGGTGCCTTTTATCAACTGTCCCCACCCCCTTCAGGCCTCATGACTAGACACAAAGGCCCCAGGGTCTAGCAAAGGAACATTCTGGGCCTGGGAAAAGGCTGAGTCAGCCCCTCTGGACAGGGATGGGGTGGGGTTAGTGGGGGAGGGCCTGGGCACTCCATCTCCACAGCCAGGCCAGCTCAGCGTCCCTTCCTCCAGCTTGGGTGGGCCTGTCTGGTGGCCCCTTTCTCTGTGGTCGGCACAACTCCTCCCACCTTGGTGGGCTCTGGATGAGGCTGGCGTTGAGAATCATCCAGGAGTGCTCCCTTCCGTCTGTTCCATCCTACCCCTGGTTCCTCAGGGTGGGCATGACCAGCTTCRAGCTCGCAGGTCTGGCCACTTGGGTCCCTCGGAGCACAAAGACACAGCCAGAGCCACAGCACAGTGAGAGGCTGGTTTATTGACAGGCACCCCCTCCCCCCTCCACACGGGAGGTCACATTCGGGAGTTGCGCTCCTCATCTTCATTCTCCAGGAGGTAGGCTGGACGGTAGGTGGGGTGTCCTCCTGGGCCTAGGCACTTCAGSGCTGGGTTCTGTACTGTGTTCTCCCGACTCCCCAGAGACGTGTACCTGGAGAGCGGAAACGGAAGGCCAGTGAGTGACGGTAGGCTCTCTGGGGGCTCCCCCATCCCAACACCTTCACACCCCCCACACCCATTCTGCTCCCCTAAACTTACCCTCGGTCATACAGGATACAATATGGGACAAACAGCTGACGCAGAAAGTCCCAGATGTTTCTGTAGGTCCAGTCCTGGGAGGTCAGAGTCATAGAATAGTCACAAACATTCTCTCCCCTGCCATCCAGGAAGGGGCCAGCCAAGGCTCCCCTGCCCCTTGGCTCTGAGGGAGGGAGGCTTGCTGTCTGGTTCTGTGGTGCACCTTGCTCTGTGCAGACTAAGCAGCGAGACAGGAAGCCTCCGTCCTCTACCCTCTCCATTCCCGAGCCACTCTCACTGACGTGTCACATCCCGAACATGGATGGACTGTGTGTCTCAGTCGGTGCTGCCAGGCTCGGCTGTCTGCCAGGACGGACATATCTGTGCGTCTTATGGCAGTGACTCGAAACATGGCTACTATAATTGAAGAAATGAATTTTAAATTGTTCTTAATTTTTAAAATTGAGATATAAGCCAGGCATAGTAACGCATGCCTATAATCCCAGCTGCTTGGGGGGCTCAGGTTTGAGGCCACTGGGCAACTTTGTGAGAATTTGTTTCAAAATAAAAAATAAAAAGGCCTGGGGGTGTAGCTCAGTGGTCAGCATGCCCCTGGGTTCAATTCCCAGTACCAAAAAATATTTTTGAGCTAAAATAATTCACATGTCATCTTCTTCATCCTGTGAAAGTATTTTAGTAACTTGTATTTAATTTCAGTTATAACCTAAGTATGAATAAATAGCTAATGGCTGTCATATTGGAGAGCACAGGTCACTGGTCCACAGTAAAAAGTACAATGCTCAATAAATATCTGTTGAAGAGATGAATGAACAAACAGCACTGCCTCCCTTGGATGGTGGGGCCCCTTCATCCATGACTCAGGCCCCTGCCTCCTTCCCCAGGGGAGCTGGGGTGCCATGACTGACAGGGCACAGGAGACAGAAGGCATTACCAGCAGTGGGTTGATGCGCATGAAGGAAGGCCAGCCGGGGTCGGTGGGACTGAAAGGGCAGAGGCTACAGGAATAGGGATCAGTCCGGCGAGTGCCCATCAGGACAGCCTCCAACTGGGGGTGCTGTGTCTGCAGCTCACACAGGGCCTGCTTCATGTCACCCTCAGCCTCCAACACCTGCAGATTATACCTTAGGAAGAGAGAGGTGGAGGTCAGAGGGGGACCTGCCAAGCTCCTCTTGGAGCCCAAACCTCCGGCCTCTAGTACCTCTTGATAGTGTCCTGTAGAAACTGTTCCAGCTCAGGAAAAGGGGAGATGCTGCGGATATACAGGATCTGCAGGGGTTTGGGGACATCAGGAAATTTCCTGGGGAAGGGGAAGGATTCATAAGGTTGCTGGCATAGACAGGGAACTCGGCTCTCTGGAGAGCACACTCTCTCTTTGTTGCATGGGATGGACACCCTCCCTTTCTCCCGTCCTCATTTTTTTAAATCTAGCCGACCCACTTCCTATGGGAAGCCCACTCCAATTGCTCACTTCTTGAACCTGAGCGTCCCTATGTATGGATTGATATTTCTGGTAAATATCACCTCCCCAATGGGACTGTGACCCACTTGTGCTCGGGGATGGTGGCCTGCACCTCTATATCCAGGGCCAGGCATGCGCCAGATGCTTGATACATAGGGTGGGAGAATGGAACAGAGAGGTCACTGGGGCTACCTCCCTTCCTAGCCCCTATGTCCTGGCCTCCTCTCCGCTTCCTGGGATGGGGAACTAGAGGGATTAGGTGTCCTGAGGTGGGCTCACCTCTGCACAGCGGCGTGGAAGAGGTGCAGGAGGGCGGTGCAGTCCTTGCCCCCGTTGAAGCCCACACAGAGCTGGTTGAGATGGTACCGAGCCAGGGCAGTCTCAATGGTCTGTAKGGCACCTGCTACCTTTTTCCCCAGAGAAGACCCTGCCAGGCAGGCAGGGAAGTGGGCATCAGGAATATATAGCTGTTGAATGGGGCATGTTGCCCTTGCTTAAAGCCCTTTAACCTCTTCCCGTGTTCTTAGGATTAAGTCTAAACTCCTTCATGCTGTCCCCTGGCCTTTGCAGTCTGTCCCCTGCCTGCCATTCAGCCACCTGCCCTTACTTCCATGCCCCTAAACCCCAAGCTGTTCCTCCAGGTCTACTTCCATTCTCTTTGCTCTTGGCCCACCCCCTGGTCCAATCAAATGCTCCTTATCACTCAGCTCTTTTGTTACTGGGTCAGAAAAGCTGTCTCTGACCCTAGATCAAGGCTGATCTCCCAAATGTGGAATCCTCTTCGTTCACACCTCATGTATGGTCCCCTGCTTCACATCCACCCCTCTGGTTAAACCACTGATCCAGAAGAGCAGAGCACACATTTGTCCATGTTGTCCAGCACAGTGCTGGTGAGAATGGGCACTCAATCAATATTTCTTAGAATGAATTAATCAATACTATTTTCTACCTTCTCTCAGAATTGTGGGAAGCCCCCCCGCCAACAGGTCCTGCGTTTCTAAATCTTGGATGGCACCAAAGGCCGGTACATGCTGCCCTTCCCCGAGGAAGGCCCCTACCTGATTGAGCGAGTTTGTACACAGCCTCACTGGCTTGCTCCACGGCGTTGGGCATGTAGGAGACCAGCGACCCCTGGGGCAGACGGGCAGTCAGGTAGGCCAGGCATTCCTCCAGTGGTCCTTCTTCCTCAGAGTCTAGAGTCAGCTTCACCTGATAGTAGTTGCTGCCCCAGTCAGGGTAGGAACCCAGGCCAAGCCTCCGCCCAAAGTGGGCCTGGGCCTCCGCAAGGATGGGGGCAATAGAGGTTTCAGCAGCAGCCACATACAGCTCCTTGGAGTGGAAACGAACAGCTGTGTTCTGGAACAGTCCCTTTAGCCCCTCCAGCACCCGCCGCAGCAGCTCCGGAATGCCTGGGAAGAGGTAGACGTTCCGGACAGAGACCAGCGGGAATCGGAAGGGGCGGCCAGTGCGAGGATCTATGCCGTAATGCAAGCGGGCAGAGGAGGGCACCAGGGACAGCTTCTCCCAGCCCTGCCCTCCTAGGGCTTTGATGGCCTCTTCCAGCTCAGGATGTGGCTTCAGCTCCTCCCCGAAAGCCTGGGCAACTGCCTCAAAGGTCACATCATCGTGAGTGGGGCCGATGCCCCCTGCAGTGAGAACATGGGTAAACCGGCTAGAGAAAGAGGTGACCTCGGCTGCAATGGTGGCTACTTCATCAGGCACAACAGAGACTCGGCACACCTGRACCCCAAGGGAGCGCAGTGTCCGGCACAGAAAGTAGGTGTTGGTGTCTTGAGTGTGTCCCTGGGGGTTGGGGAGGATGAGACTGTCAATACCATGGGGATGAAAGGCAGGGGGAGTATAGCTACATCTGTCTGATGATGGGTACTCTGCTCTTTGAAGTCACCCCTTCAGGCTGTTGAGCCTGGGCTGGGTGGGAAAATCCCCTGGAATGTCCTCAGGAGATTCACCTTGGGCCCCCTCTGCTCTTTGATCTTGACCTTACGTATATTTACGGACTCAGTTATCAATTCTCTGTGGGCGATTTGTCCATCTCCATCTCCTTACGAGTCCTGACAGTTTCAGTCCCCTGACTCCAAGTGCTTACTGGGCAGCCTCACTGTATCCCTGGCTATTGTCACTTCAGTCAGTGGCATCCCAGACACTGCCCACAGCCAGTCAGACTCTTCATTCTGTCAACTCTACTGAAATGTCTCCCCATCTGCTCTCCTCTGTCCCCAGTCACCAAACAGGTCCTTGGCACCTTTCACCTGGTCAATGGCAACAGCCTCCTGGCCGAGCTCCCAGCCTCCAGCCACGGTGCTTTGCTCTGTGTCTTCTGAGTAACCTTCCTAATGCGTCACTGTGATTGCATCACTTTTGGGCTCAAGAGCCATTTGTTGTTTCCAACTGTATGCAGAATAAAGTTCAAATTCTTTTGCAAGTATTTAAGGCTGTCTGTGGTGTGTATCCTATCCTCTTTTCCAGCCCCATCTCCTTCTACCTCTCTATATAGGTTAAGAGTGTGTTCTGGAGTAAGGAAGAGTCATGCTAGAATTCCATTTCTACCACTTTCTAGGTGTGTAATCTCAGGCAAGTTTCTCAACCTCTCTAAGCCTCAGTTGCGTAATCTATTTCTTAACTGAGATTCACAATAAAAGCACCAACTTCATGGAATTGTTGTGAGGCTTAGTAAAATCACATTTGTGATGTAATAAGCATACTGCTAGCCTCTACTAAGCACTCAAAAAATAGTGTTTACTATTACAAACCTGATGCCCTGCCATGTCCTCTAGTAATACCCTTGATCATTCAGAAGGAATTCCTCTTCCTTCTATCTCATTTATCCACTTTGCTGAGTGCCTTGAATCATTTCCAAATAGGCTGGATATAAACTTTATTTATTTGTTTTTGTACCAGGGATTGAACCCAGGGATGCTTAACTACTGAGCCACATCCCCAGCCCTTTTTACTTTTTGAGACTGGGTCTCAATAAGCTGCCTAGGGCCTTGCTAAGTTGCTGAGGCTGGTTTGAACTTGTGATCTTCCTGCCTCAGCCTCCTGAGCCTATGGGCTTATTATAGGCCTCTGCCACCAGCCTGGATATAACTCTTAAATATATAATATGTGAATTTTTATCTCCTCTACTTGCGAGGCTTCCTGTCACTGCCGGGTAGTCCCTACGTCCCCTACTATACTACTTGGAAAAATGGGGACACTGCTACAACTTTTTTTAGTGGAGTAATTTGAAAGAAAGTGAATCCAATATGTTGGACTCACTCCAGGAATCTATTATGGCAGGCAAGGGGACTCCCACCCTGGTTCACCTCCCTCAACAGGATGGGGAGCAAGCTCTTAAGGTCAGGAGAAAGCCGCACCCTCCCCTTCTTCTGTCCCAGACACACCTTGAGGATCTCATCTCCAACAATGATGATGCCCGCCGTCACGCTGCGCCCCTGGGGAAGTTCAGAGGCCCTAGATGCCATGGTCCTGCCTTCTCTTTCCCTTTGGAAGGCCCTCCGGTAGCCACCCAGACCCCCAAGAAGGGGCCGCAAACACCGGGGGACTGCCAGGTCTACAGGGCACTGGGGGCCATAGCCTGGGAACAAGGTCCGGGATGGAGAGAACCTGGAGGAGCCAGAAAGGACAATGGAGGAGAGGAGGAGCACAGTTCCTTCTTAGGATATGACTTAGTCTTCTCTAACCAGACCCTTCATAACCGACTCTTATTACTGCCTCTTCAATAAACGTGTTCTAAAACCCCAACCCATGCTCATATAAATGACTTCGATGCTTGGCTCTAGTCTCCTTAAAATGTCCTTCTCTCCCGAGAACCTACCACTTTAAATGTCTTCGGTGTGCGGAACTGGTCGTCTCAAGAGTTTGTTCTATCTTGGGCATCTGCACCTTTAAATGTCTCTTGTCTTCGGGGYTTCTGGCCCTTTAAATTTCTACCTGATCCTGGGCCCTGGCTCCTTTAAATGCGTTCCTTCCCTCCACCCGCGACCAGAACCCTGTCGCCTTCCCCCGCAGCCCCCTGCACCCTTTCTAGTCTGGGATCCCCTCTTTCCACCGCGCTTCTGACTGCTGAGCTCTTCCAGGCTCTCACCTGCCTATTTCGTACCTTTACCGGGTCTTTTCCTCGCTCCTTTCCTCAGGTCCGGGTCAACTTCCGCACTCAAAGTCCCGCCTTGCATTGCCCCGTACGGATTGGCTACTCCGGCTGTCACTTAGACGCTCCCCAACGGTCCTATTGGTAAAGCCGACTGTCACTCTCAGGCTTTATCCAACAGGCACGAGCAATATCATGTTGTTATTGGCAACCACCACGTTCGCCGGAAKCGTGGGGGCCGGCTTCGGTCCAGGGCGGGCGTGGGTAGGCGGGACTTAGGAGTTCGGGGCGCGAAAGTCGCAGTTGGAACCGTGTTCTCAGTACTTTGGGGTGTCGTGCTGGAGTAAGCGGAGGCTTTCTGATCTCCCAGACTCTTTAKGCATATGCTGTTTTCAATAACCATGACTCTGATTCTAGGGGAAGGGGTCAGGGGCTGGTGTCCAGCATTTTTTATTATTAATGTATTTGGTACCGGGCATTGAACCCAAGGGGACTTATCCAGTGAGCCACATCCCCAGCCCTTTTTATATTTTACTTAGAGATAAGGTCTCGTTAAGTTGCTGAGGTAGGCTTTGAACTCCTATCCTCCTGCCTCAGCCTCTCAATCACTGGGATTACAGGCCTAAAGCACCCGGCCTGGCTCGGAATTTTTACTTTATTTTTGGGTGTGTGTGGGGATACCGGGGGTTGAACTCAGGGGCACTCAACCACTGAGCCACACCCCCAGCCCTATTTTATATTTAGAGACAGCTTCTCACTGAGTAACTTAGCGCCTCAATGTTGCTGTGGCTGCCTTTACACTCGTGATCCTCCTGTCTCAGCCTCCTGGGATTACAGGCCTCAGCTCCTGGGATTACAGGCCTGCGCCACAGCGCCTGGCCTGGAATTTTTATTTTTGAGGTTGTAATCGAACCTCAAGCAATCCTCCTGCACTCAGCTTCCCCTGCAGCTGGAACTACAGGGGCATGCTATTGAGTTCAGCTGGGATTTTATTTTGTAACAGAAGAAAGCTGAGGGAGATAGCATGTCTATCATTGCCTGTGGGAYAGGAGTCTTGGAGTAGGGGAGCTTTTAGTGTGAACCTTCATTTGTCTTTAATATAAGTGATAAAATTACTTAAGATCTCTTTGAAAAGAAAAAGTAAAAAGCCTCTCTTGCTCCAAGGTGTTCCGGATGCTTAGTTCAAACGTCACCTCTCAGTTTTCGGTCCTGAAGGGAAAGACAGTAAATAGGGAGGGAATGCCTTAGGTGTTCACTTAGGAGTCTTAATTACATCAGCCTGGTTACTCATTTCCTTTGCAAAGAAAAGTGCTTCATAACTTGAACCATCTGGGGATGGTTTTAATTGGCAGATAATGATTCAGGTTTGGGTGGGCCAGAAACTTGCATTTCTCCAGCTCCCATGTGATGACCACATTTTGGTTTCTGGGCTGTTTTTAGTAAAAGTTAACATTTATTTGGAGAACTGCTGAACTACACCTGGCCTCATTTTACTCTATAAAATCGTGTAAGATAAATATCAAGCCCAGTTTACAGGAGTAGAAAAGTGAAGGGAAGCCACCCAAACATACGTAGATTCTTAAGTAATAAACCCTGTGGTTTGTTATTTTTTTTCCCAGTTTTTAAAAAAACACCACCACTTACTTGCCTAATGACATAAGTCACATGCTCCAATTTTTTTTTTTAAGAGAGATAGAATTTTATTATTTATTTTTCTTTTTAGTTTTCGGCGGACACAACATCTTTATTTGTATGTGGTGCTGAGGATYGAACCCAGGCCCCTTGCATGCCAGGCAAGCGTGCTACCGCTTGAGCCATATCTCCAGCCCAATCCAATATTTTTGTTGTAATGAAGGTTTGACATTTGACCCCGTGTCAAAACATCAACTCTGGCCAGGTGTATTGGCGCATGCCTATAATCCTAAAGGCTCTGGAGGCTGAGGCAAGAGGATCCCAAGTTCAAAGTCAGCCTCAGCAACTTAGTGAAGCCCTAAGCAACAGTGAAACCTTGTCTCAAAATAAAATATAAAAAAGGGCTGGGAATGTGGCTCAGTGGTTGAGTGCCCCTGGGTTCAATACTTGGTATCAAAAAACAAACATCCCCCTTAATTAAAAAACTTGTTCCAATCATTTAGTAGTGAGTTCCCAAGCTTAAGCACAATACTAGAACCACAAGGAGAATTTGTTAACACATTGCTGGGCCCAACTTTCAACTTAGAATTCAATAGGTCAAGGGTGGAGCCCAATTATTTGTATTTCTCACAACCTTTCAGATAATGTTGATGCCTTTTTAAAAATATATATATAGGGCTGGGGATGTGGCTCAAGTGGTAGCGCGCTCGCCTGACATGCGTGCAGTCTGGGTTCGATGCTCAACACCACATACAAGGATGTTGTGTCCACCGAAAACTAAAAAATAAATATTAAAAAATTCTCTTTCTTAAAAAAAAATTATATATATATATTATTAGTCCCCCCCCCTTTGGTTCTGGTGATTGAACCCAAGGGCACTTGACCACTGAGCCACATCCCCAGCCCTATTCTGTATTTTATTTAGTGAGACATAGTGACAGGGACTGAGTTGCTTAGCGCTTTGTTTTTGCTGAGGCTGGCTTTAAAGTCTCGATCCTCCTGTCTCAGCCTCCGAAGCATCTGGGATTATAGGTGCTCCACCTTGCCCAGCTTATTAGTTGTTGATGGATTTTTAAAAATATTTTTTAGTTGTCAATGAACCTTTATTTTATTAATTTACAAGTGGTACTGAGAATTGAACCCAATGCCTCACACATGCTAGGCAGGCACTCTACCACTTTGCTAGCTACAACCCCAGCCCCATGTTGATACCGCTTATCCAAAGCTGGCACTTTGAAGAACTATTTGAGGATTAAATGGATAGAAGACATGCTACTATTACTTTTAGAGGGTGGAGCTTTTATTTKGTGATATTCTCTTAAATGGCCAGTTTACATCCGTTTTCTCAAACTTTGTTTGAAATCCATCACCTAATACACACTCCAGACCAATTAATTCAGTCTCTAAGGATAATTTAGGTGGGATAAGGATAATTTAGTTACCCAGATGATTTCTATGCTCAATCAAATTTGAGAAATAGTAAAAAAACCACCAATGGGCATAGTGAACAGGTCAGAAGTGTGCCAGTTTTAGGCAGGAATGAAAGCACAAAGTAGTCTCTGGTTGACAGCCTCTTCTCTTAACCCTGTGTGCCCTTCAAATATTGGGACCATGTTAAAGGAAGCATCCCTGACTGTACAAAACAGCTTATTTGGTTTGATGAGATGGGGCTGTCCCTATATAACGTCTACCTGTCTCAGTCTTGTAGTTAGAATGAAATATATTTTAGCAGATGTTTGACAGCAAGTCTGCTTAAAGTAGATTACCCAAATGCTCAAATAAACCTCATTATTGCAGAGCCGATTTTCATTATCAAACTGAAGGGCATATAATTATAACCACAATATTGACTTATAATGGTCACCATAAGAATAGGAACAATCACAGAATTAGATTATAAAAACTTCCTCTTTAATCAAGGTTTTTAACATTGAACAGATTTCTCAAATAAAATGGAAAATTTCCAATACATTGAAACATAAATCCATAAGTCACCAYACATACAACACCCAGCAGGAAAAAACTAAAACGGCAAGTTCACACAATCCCTGTAACAGCCATGGTCTGATTCTTAGATGCTCCCTCCATCTGCCAAGTGTGTTCTGCTGGATACAGAGCACACTGTGGCTTCTGGGGACACACCCAGCTAAGGCTGTGGTCCACAGAGCACTCATCTGGCAGGGCAGCAGTGGCTCTATTCCACAAGCAAAGCAGTCACCAGCACATTCAAACAGTGGATTGAATATCCTTTAAATATCAAAGTGGAAAACAAGAAGGCAACATAATCACATTATCAGAAAGATGTCAGAAAGTAAGGACAGCTGGGTAAAGCTCAAGGCTGCAAAGTGGCTCGCCAGCTTCATTTCTTTGGCTTCTTGGGTAGTGGCCGACGGAACAGCAAGATGTGAGGTTCTGAAAGAGTGAGTGAAATCTGAGAAAAGCTCACACCATCCTATGTACAACCTATAGTGCATCCCACCACCGGCTAGCTATCACCCACTCAGATCTTTATAACTAAATTAAGATGTAAGCATATGGTCTTAGAAGCAGACCCAGAAGTCTGGCCTGACTGCCAAAACGAGAACCGTTAATATCAGTTTTTGCTGTGTTTATACAGCCCTGGGGTGTCCTTTATTAGTTTTGCCTGGCAGTTGGGTGTCTGGTGTCTTATCAAGAAATATAATTTCCTTTGCTTATTTGGAACACATCCAAGAATTTGCTTTCTGATGTGAACCAAGCAAGGACCAAAACTAGGATATATGTGGTCTTTAAAAATAATTTAAAAAGTACCTGCTAACTGAATTAAAGGTTTTTCAGTAGCAGGTTATCTCTGAACTTTTCAGATATTTTACCCTTCCTCTTATTTTTGGTCATTCAAGTTTGTTTAGATAGTTAGGGGAAAGAACTCAGTAAATCATTCTCTTCTACTCTATTTGCTTTGGGTTATACAATCTTACTTCTTTCATTTTCTCACTGTAGAAGTTCTTCTATGCAGTTGTTTTTAGCCATTGCACTGACCTGGTTCATGGATCATATAATGAACCCATCCCTGACTCTGCTGAACTCCAAGATTCCTCCATTCAGATTCAGACATCAAATGGGTTTTAGGGACCAGTTTGGCTATGTCCTTGGGCAACATGACATGCCTGTAACAGAAATATGGGGAAATGGGGAATTAGTGTTAGTACTGGGTACAGTTTGTCAGAGAAGTGCATGTATACAAAGACAAGGAAGAAAATAAATTTTTTTTAATTTGTATTTTTTTTTTTTTTTTAGTTGTAGATGGACACACCAGTGTAAGCACCTAATTTCCAGGCACTGTTGAGAGGTATTTTCTGCCTTCATGGTCCTTATAGTCTTCTGTTGATTACCCACAATACAATGGGAGTCCCACAAGAGTACAGTGTTAATAGCTACAGGTGGTTTTAAGCAGGATTGGCAAGGAAGGGACAGAAGTTACTTTGTGGAGAAGAAAGGGCTGTCATAAAGTGYTGTGTAGAAGAGTCATCATAATGAATAAAATGTAAATAACACTAATTTTCCTAACTCTGAAGGGATATGCCATCAGATTTGGGGAACTACATGCTTTCCAGACCAAAGGTATCTCTTTATGCAAAGAAATTTATTATTCTGATCTGAATCAGATTAAGCCAGATAGCACATTTTCATTAAGCATGTTGAGTCTAAGTGCTCCCTCTGTACTACTAATGAGAGTTTTTCCCCCAAAAGGCAGGGCTGGGGGTGTAGCTCAGATGGTATAGCGATTGCCTAGTATGTGCAAGACCCCCCATTACTGCAAAACCACCAAAAAAAGATAATTCTTATCTAAATGTCTGAAAATAGTTTACATTCTAACAAGCCCCAGGCACAAAATTTGGCTTGATTATATAGACAAAAAAAACTTAAACCAAAATGCCACAGCTAAGCTGCTAAGAGTTGCATCTTTTGGGGGATGAAATTAGTGATTTATTCCTAGCTGTGCAAATATTTTGCTATAACCTTTTGTATGTGTGTGTGTGTGTGTGTGTGTGTGTGTATAATACTGGGGATTGAACCCAGGGATACTTTACCATTGAACTACATGCCCAGCCCTTTTTATTTTCATTTTGAGACAGAATCTTGCTAAGTTGCCCAGGCTGAGCTAGAACTTGCAGTCCTCCTGCTTCAGTCTCCTTAATCACTGGGATTTTGGGTGTGTATCACCATACCTGGCACAGAGTTTATTTAATAGTTCGGATGTAGAAAGCGCTGAGAATGACAAAGTTAACTGGGTTCAAGATTTTTTTTTTTTTGGGGGGGCATAAAGATGGTTATGTATTTGTCAACAAATACCAAACAACACTCAAACTCTCTCATAATTCCCCAAGTGTCCAAAGCCCTAAACTAGGCTGGGTGAAAAGACGGAAAAGAGCAGATTTTCACTTTCTGCTCTAAAATTGAGAAGGGGCTAAGATACAAACTAGGAAGTTGTATTTATTTATTTTGTACTGGGGATTGAACCCAGAGGCACCTTACCACTGAGCAACATCCTCAGTCCTTTTTACTTCTTGAGACAGGATTTCACTAATTTACAGAATTTTCTTTCTCAGTAAACTGTGACTGCCCTCTGCCTCAGCTTCCCAAGAAGCTGGGRTTACAGGTGTGCACTACTGGTGGAGGAAGTTGTTTTAAGTATTACAATGAATACAGATTGGTATAATGCCAACATTTGTAGAATCCTTTGTCTTTCTTCATTTTCAAATGCAGAATTATTATAGATTTAGATTTTATTAAATCCAAATGCTGCATCCAATGTAAGGCTATTTTCTTCACCATCCTTGGCAGATGGATATCCAGTATCTTCTAAGCCTTTCGGTCAAGAGGTACTTTCCTTTTCCTAATTCTACGTTCCTATTCTCATCCAAGGCAGTTAGCTGCCTTCCCTCTTCTTGGAAAGTTCTGTATACCACCACCACACCCTGTCCGGAGCTCCAACACAGCATGGAGTTTGTCGGTAGCCTCCAGATCTTTAAGTTTGTGAGCAGAGACCATGTCTTACCCTTGCACTTTAGCACACCTGAAACCTTTAAGCGCTCCATAATTGTTCAAGTGAAGGGCATCTACTAGGCCCATACTAGGTACTTGCTGTGTTCTTCGCCCATTTTTGTTCCCCTCAGTTCTTCTAAGTCCCCTTCYTAACACAAGCCAGACAACCACACCCCTTTCCTTTTCCGTGAATAAACAACACTCAAATTCTCTCATAACTCCGCAAGCACTGAGGACGCAAGGGAAATTCCAGCTCCGCTTTTGTCAGCTTCTCTCGTTAGGTACTTGGAATGACTGCGATACGTGCAATTAGGAACGGTGTCTAACAACCACTTGCCCAATAAAATCGTGAGAATGACCCAGAAGCCCCGAAGGGTGAAGGCGGTCAGCGCTCTAACCACGCTAGCAATTAACAGAGGGCTGATTTCAAATTCCACTTCATTGTGGTAGGAGAGCCCCCCCCACCCTTCGCGCACGCGCCTTACACTTCCAATCGCACACCCATCCCGTTAATCTCACGCGCATGCGCCGATTTTGTCGCCTCAGTAAGTGACTAACTCCTCTGGCCCTCATTTGTCAAGGCTCACGACCTCGCTAACGGCTCCCGCGCGGGCACTAACCGGTACTCGAATTCCTCGTCGTCGTATTTGTCCGAATAGTAAATTTGTTTGTGCGACATGATCGCTGTGCCTGCGGGCCTCCAACACCGCGCCGCCAACCTCTAAACAACTCCCAGCAGCACACGCTCCCACCCTCTTTGGCCTCGCTTTCAAACACACCGCCCGCACTTCCTATTGGTCCGTTTGGCTTAAGGCGGGACAACTCCACCTTAAAGCCTCCTATTGGCTTAGATTTGCTTTTCCTCGAGTTTTTATTGGAGTGCAATTCTCACATTCCCGAAGAACAAGCTTGGGTCAAAAATAGGCATCTTATTGGCTATCGCTGCTCCATGAGCATTCTCGCGCTGCCATTGGCTGACTCGGGAAAGTGGGACGGGTGAGGAGGGACCGTGAGGTAGAGGGTCAAGGGTTAGTGAGGCCGGAAGTGAGTGTAATAAAGTTTCTCCGGGGAGGCCGGGCCGGGGAGAAAGTTAGAGCGGCGACTTTAGCAGGCAGTGGCGTGATCCGCAACCAGACTGGCCCGCGGTGCGGTGCGGAGACTCCATGAGGCCCTGGTGAGTCTTGACTTTTTTTACTCGTTAGGCGACCCACTCCTCCACCCCGGAACCCCTCTCCCGGGACCCCACTTCCGGTCGTCATTTGTAAGTCCCGCCTCTTGAGACCCCCTCCCCGGAAGTCCCACCTCCCAACTTCTGGGGTCTCCCCGAACCCCGACTTGTCTTTTATTGTCGTGACTCCACCCTGTCGTCCAGCTTTCCTGGAAGTCCCACCCCCAGGCATGCTGCTAAGCCCCACTACAAGAAACCCTTCTTTAGTCCGTCCACTTCTCCAAAACTCCGCCTCTTCACAGCGACTCTCCGCTAATTYCTGTCTGTCAAAGCCTAGGTTCCGAAAGGGCAAAGGCTTGCTCCTCAAAGGATTGCCTTACTGAAGCTGTGACTCGGGGTTCCGCCCCCTCCGGGGGCTCCGCCCCTTCCGTAGTCCACGTCCGACCGTCCCGAAGCTTGGCTGCCTAGAAGTCTGAGGCGCGCGTCTAGGGGCCCACGCCCCCTTAAGAGATTGATCCCTGGGGACCCAGGTCGTCGCCTGCAGAGCTTGTCTCAGTCGCCCGCTTACATTGCCCTGTCCTTCCTCTCTCCGGGCCTCGGGCTCAGTTTCCTGACGCTCGTGCTCCTCCAGGTGGAAAGTCGAAGTCCCCATCCCGGCTGGGAGGGGAGACTAGAGGCGGCCGGCTTCTCTGCCCTTACCTTCAAGTAGATCCTCCAGGTGTGGGTCCACTGGAGGGGCGCTGGACTTGGGGTTTGGTAGGAGAGTGGGAGAGACACTTGCTCAGAATTTTCCTTCCTGGGACCAGCAAACCGCTGAGGTCTTCCTGCCCGAGGCGGGGTGGGGCGGCGGGTTGTTGGTGGCGGTCTTGGGGGCCAACGGGAGCCAAAGTTTCCCTCCACCCGGGAATGGTGGTTTGGAGCCCGGAGAAGCGACTAGTGTCCATTTCGTGGTTTTTAAGGGACCCCTCAGTCCCCCTTCTCTGGGTCTTCCCCTCCCCCTGGGCAAAGCTGTGRTCTGGGCATTCGGTTCTGGTCCTGGCTCCGTTTGCAGCCTTCCTAGCCGGAGACATTCCAGAGGCCCTCGCCATTTCCTGCTACTTCCCGCCCTCCTTCCTCCTCTCTGCTGGCCTGAGAAGCAACACGCGCTTTTTGCCTCACATACCCAATCGCCTGGACCTCCAGCAGGCAATCTTCTTTCTCCCTGTGCAAATTTCAGGAGTCATCCTTTTTTCCTCCAAGTGGCCACACCTTTTGGGTCATTCCCATCTCTGGATCTTGCAGTCTCACACAGCACTTCATCTCTAAAGATGAGGACATACTGATTGTGTGTGTGTGTGTGTGTGTGTGTGTGTGTGTGTGTGTGTTGGAAGCATGAAGCCATGGCAGAATCCTCCCTCATTCTCTGTTTGAGAGCCAAGGCCTTGGCAAATGGATAATAGAATTCCTCCTCAGGAATGGGGGAATGCATGACATGGCTCTCGGGGATGAGAACTGAGGGAAGCGGAGAGAGTTAAGGTACTTGACATACTTTAAGTGCTACTAGTGTAATCATTTCACTCTTATAGATTGTTTTAATCCTCTGAAGCAAACCTAAGGGTTATGCTGAGATGAGCCTGGGGGAAGATGTATCTTTTACTACTTGTATTTTGGTCACTTTCCAACTTCCTTTATGGCCTCAAGCAGAACTGTGGCAGGAAGTTGTGGGTGGCAGGAATAGGCTTGGGACTGTTCCTTGAGTCCAGCCTCAGCTCATCTTTTGGCACCCCTTTCTCCTGTCCTTATTGACACAGATTTGTCTTGCGACCACTCTATCTATAGTGGTCTGTAGCCTGCATTTCTCTTTGGGAACTTTCATTCTCCCACCTTCCCTTGCCAGACCTCTCCCCTAGTGTGAGGGACACTTTGGTGAGGTTGAAAGCCCTGCAAGAGGAGGGGTCTGGGTGTACCTGGCAGGCCCAAGGGGTTGACCTTACTCTTAGTGCTCTGATCCTCCTTTCTTACCTTTATTATTTTACTTTGCTAATGGTCCCTTGAAAATGGGGCAGAACAGTGCTTGACCGTGGGCCATTGTTCCTTGGTTGGTAGGCGCCATGCATGGAGAAAGAGGCTTGAACATATCCTCTTGATGGAGTTTTTTGCCTTGTAGCTCCCTGAGGCACCACCCAGGTTGGACTTTATTTCACTTACTTCACCAGCCTTGCCCACCCGCTAGGCCCCTGCTGCATCCACTGGGACCACTTCCTTCCTGTCCCCGTTTCCCTCTCCCCAGTCCACTGCTGTTGTTGCAAAGGATGTTAATGGCCCAGGCTCCCTGGGGCCACTACCCCCCTGTATATGGTAGTGGTGGGAGGTGGCCTGGGCTGGAGGATGGGGGAATGTGTGTGTTCAACCTGGACAGGAAGGGAAATGCTGAGTCCTGGGATCCCCTCCCTTTCCACCCCCAGCTGTCTGTTTCCTCCCTCATTCCCCGCTAGCCTCCCCTGGTTTCCTGATCTCTTTTGCCTGCCCATGTCCGGTTTGGATTGATCCAGACCTCCTCTTATCTCCTTCCTTTCCTCCCTACTCCTCCATCTTTCCCTTCCACCTCCACTTTCCTCCTCTCCAGATTACTAGTTGCTGCCTTACACTGGGCAGGGGAAGGGTGTCACTAGCTTTACCCTAGCAGGAGTTCTAGGTTGGGGCGGTGGTTGGGGGAGCTCAGCCCCTCTGAGCCTGTGAGTCAGCACTGTCCTTGGGATTGGTCTCTCTCCTTAGTTCCCCGCCTCTGGGGAGGAGCCAGGCTGCTCCGTGTCCAGCCTATTCTCGTCCTAGCCAGAGAAGAGGTTCCACGCTGGTGGGGATGGGCCCCGAAACCGTCTGGGTCTGACCTGGGGGAATGGAAATCACTTATCCTTCTCCTGCCCCAGGACCCCTGTGACTCCTGGGCCATAGAGGTTCAGCCAGGCTAAGGGCCTGGGGATGCCCCCTGCCTGGCCCCCTTGCCTGAACTGGCAGGGGGGCCGGGCTGGGCAGCAGCCCCCCTCTAACTCCAGCCATGGATCTCCTGCCCCCCAAGCCCAAGTACAACCCACTTCGGAATGAGTCTCTGTCATCGCTGGAGGAGGGGGCTTCAGGGTCCACCCCCCCGGAGGAGCTACCTTCCCCATCAGCTTCTTCTCTGGGGCCCATCCTGCCTCCTCTGCCTGGGGACGACAGTCCCACTACCCTGTGCTCCTTCTTTCCCCGGATGAGCAACCTGAAGCTGGCCAACCCGGCTGGGGGACGCCTGGGGCCTAAGGGGGAGACTGGAAGGGCAGCCGAGGATGGGGAGGGGATCACAGGAGCAGCCATGCCAGACTCAGGCCCCCTGCCCCTCCTCCAGGACATGAACAAGCTGAGTGGAGGCGGCGGGCGCAGGACTCGGGTGGAAGGGGGCCAGCTGGGGGGCGAGGAGTGGACCCGCCACGGGAGCTTTGTCAATAAGCCCACGAGGGGCTGGCTGCATCCCAACGACAAAGTCATGGGACCTGGGGTTTCCTACTTGGTTCGGGTGAGTGAACATCCTCCCTTCCACTCCCTCCCACACCCCCTGCGGTTCCTCTGCTCACTCCAGCTGTGCTGGGCTCCCTTCCTCTTCTCCACCAGCCCCCTCTGTTTCGGAAACCTTTCTTGCCCCTTCTCTGATTCTCTTCCCCTTCCCTTCCCATCTGGGAAAATCTCTGCCAGGGCCCCCTTTCTTCTTTGGACACTGCCCCCCCCCCACCGTCCCCACCCTGCTTAGCACAATGCCTGGCACATCAAGAGGCTCTCAGTAAGTGTCGSAATGAGTGACTTCTTGATTCTCCTCTCCAGACTCCTCTCCTTTTCTAGAGATGTCAAAGCATCCCACCCAGTCCTGTCACTGCCCTCCGGATTCCCCCAGTGCATGAGGCCCTCCTAGCTTGGCCCTTTCTCTTTCTCCATGTTTTCCGTGGATTGTGCTTGGTGGGTTGTAACCATAGGTAGTGGGCAGACTACTTCAGCCTTACTTCCCTTAGGATTATGTAGGAAAGCCTTAGGGCTCTGTGGGAAGGGGGTGGGGAGGCTGCTGACCTGTGGTCCTCCCCTCCGTCCCTTAGTACATGGGCTGTGTGGAGGTCCTGCAGTCGATGCGTGCCCTTGACTTCAATACCCGGACTCAGGTCACCAGGTTAGTGGGGAGTGGCGTGCATTGTGGAAGTCTTAGGATTGTGAGGCCACGGGAAGGGGGACACTTGGTGGTGGTGCTAGTGGTGGCTTCGGGTGGCGAAGAGGATTGAGGGAAAGTTAGGGGAGTTAAGTCTGAATGCAAAGAGGCAACTCTGGTGTGGCACCTCCTTACCTACCTAGTCTTGGGGGTTGTGGGGAAGGTGGCAGAAACAGTTGGTCGAGTTGAAGTAGAAAATGGAAATTGATGGAAGGTTGCTGCTGCCTTTGGCTAGGGAATGGGACATTTGGTAGCTGGGAAGAGGTGGGGTGATACCCATTGAGGTTCTAACTCAATCAGCCAGGAAGCGGCCTTCAGTGTCATCAAATATTAAAGGCCCTTAATTCAATCCACCACGACAAAGAGCCTGGAGTGCCCTGGGAGTCTGGCCTGGCTTTCCCCTCCCCCAGC